AAGCTTGCTAGAAATCTGAAGAGGGCTTGTGACATTTATTGTGACACATGAGACAGAAGAATAAAGCAACTGGAGACCGTAAAAAAAGAAAGGAAAACAGCTTCCAGGAGGGTATTATTGTTCCCAGAGAAATGAGAAATGAGCAGGACTCTATGAAAAGAACATCTGAAGAACAAGAGCTTCCTGTACGTTAAAAGCAACACAGCAGAACGGAGAACCCGACAGAGCAGCACAACATGAGGACGTTTCCCAGAAAACAGGACAAAGACGAGGAGAACAAGAGGAAAGGAGATTTTTAAAATTTAAAAAAGGACCAGGATAGGAATCCAAATACTGAAAACAGAGGGAAAAAACAAACAAACAAGAACAACCCACCAGGGGCAGAGGGGATTCAAACAAGTAATTCAAGAAAAACCCCTGGAATCAAAAGACATGAGACTGAGCGCTGGGAACAAAAAGGTGTCACACCCGGAACAAGACGGTGAACTTCCGAACACAGAAAAGGAGGAGGTCCTCCCGACAGACAGGGAAGCGGAGACAGACCCCTCTACGCCAGGCCTGAGATTCGAGGAAGAGCGACCCCAACGTAGAACTCCTGTCCAGCCAAGTGGTCACACAGACCACCGTCGAGTCAGGCCTCAGAAACTCACCTCCTGGACACTCCCTTCCGGAGGTGCCAGACCACGAGGGAAGGCAGCGCAGCTGGGCTGGGGGAGGTGAGGCAGAGGGAGCTCCCGGGGGCAGGTGTGAGGCTGGCCAGGCGCAAGAGGAACCACGGAACTGGCTGGAGGGAGTCCGCAGGGCTGGGGTGGAGGGGCCGGGGGTCAGAGGGACTCATGGAGGAAACACAGGAGGGCCGTGGGGAGGGTCCCAGCCGTGGGGGGTGGGGACGTCCCCGAGTCTGCAGGCCCAGGGAAAGGGGACTCTGGGGGGGAGGTGGGCAAGGGCACATGGACAGGGGAGCCACTGGGCAGCGGAGTCTGCCAGGCTGACCCTTCAGAGCCGCACGTCCTGCAAGGCTGGAGCCCTGGTCTTCAGGGAAGCGGTGGCCCGCAGACAGAGTGCAGCTGGCAGGGCCGGCCCAGGTCCCCAGCCTCTCTGGTTCTGCCCTCACCGCCCTCGGGCCACTCACGGGCTCCTCACAGCCAGGCCTCCACCTCCTGGAGGCCACCCCGGACACACCTGCACCTCCCAGGCCCACAGTCGGCCTCCTGCTGCTGACTCCTGTGACCTGGCCCCACTGGGTCCTCAGGCTGAAGGTGTGGGGACAGGCGGGCAGGAACACTCAAGGGAAACGTGGCAGAAATACTGTAACCACCACGACGGTCTCAGCAGCGGCCAGGGCTCCTCGAGCCTGGAGGCCAGGCGTCCGGTGCAGAGAGGCCGCGGGCCAGGGCCCGGCCGGCCTGGTGGAGGGGCGCTGCTGGCTCACTGCCCGCACCACCAACAGGACGCCGCAGGCCCAGCTCTGCTCGTAGAGCGCTTGTTGTTATGAATTTATAACCTGGGCAGGCACAGACAGACTGTCCAGCGACACACACGGGGAAGTGGATTAAAAGTGTGGATGAACAGAAAACGAGGGGACAGCGCAAACGCACGACGACTCTAGTAGGAAGAGCGTGCACGCCGCGCGCGAAGCCAAGCTGACGCGAAGGCCGCTGCTCGGCGTGCACACAGCAAGCACACGACCCGGCTTACAAGTCCACACGGAAGCCTTTACGTAGCACGGCTACGGAGACGCTGACGACAGTCATTTTAAGCGTGTATTAAGTAAACCGCAGCTTGCTCTACTTGCTTTAGAAACCCCACGTAGATTTAACAGCTGGTCGAAATTCGTGGGAGCCGCTGAGAACGCGCGTCACGACACTCACAGCCGTCAGCTGATCCTCGGGGTGCGTGACGCGGACGGGCGCACACCGGCGTCTCGCACCACATCAGAACCGAGCGCCACCCGTGCCATCCCCCTTCCGCAGGAAACCGTGCAGGGTGGAGACAGGACGGTGCCTCGGCGCTGCCTGCACGGCATCCTTTCTAGATGTGCCCCCCCCCGAGGCGCTGACACCGTCTCACGACGCCCAGGCTGCTCCGGAGCGCAGAGGGCCAGGCCCACAGTGGGTCCGACACTGTGAAGGCAGCTCCGGGACCCTCAGCTCTTCTCAGCTGGTCTTCGCCTTCTACAAAATCTGCCCCAAGTCCCGGTTTCCTCACGGCTTTTTAGTGACGTCGTCACACTCAGGCCCTCCACCTGCACACTTGGTGCTTCTCCTGCGGCTCAGGCGGCTCCTGAAATCCCCTCTTCCAAGAAGCCCTCCTTGAACCCTCTCCTCCGGGTCTGCGGCTTGAGGTGCCCACTCCCCACTCCGAGCCATGCAAGTTCCGACCTCCTCCCCGTTTACTGAGATTTCGTCGTCCTCCAGTGCCCCGTGCTCCCTGGTGGGGGGACGCAGGAGGCCCGTTCGCTGGATGCAGAGATGCCACCAAGCTCCCCGAGACCTGACTCCCTCACCTGGCACCCAGGGTCTGACATCTGCAGACACAGCCCCGGCAGGGGCAGCACACGAAAGGGCCTGGCGGGAGGAGGGTCAGCCGGGACGCCTGGTAAACGCTTTCCGAAAAATGATCAGACAGACGAAAAGTGAACCGGGATGGAAGCATTTATTCTGAGTGTGAGAACTACATGCACAGAAGGCTACTTCGCTAATGAAAATGGTGAGCACGGTGGATACAAGGGTTAACACACTTAGGAAAGACAACACTGTGCGTTTCTTAGTAAGCTTTATCCAGATGTTTGCAGAAGATTAAACCTTCCCTTCCAGTTGCTAGGACTTCCCCACCAGACACCAAATGAACGAGCACAACGGTGACTGAGGCACCGGACGGACAAGCACATGGCCACCCTGGCCCCAGGGCTCCATCCCGACACAGACGTGAGCGTCAGTGTGGGAAGGGGCTCTGGGACACCCTGCAGAAACACAGACCCTGACTCAGCCGTCTGAAGCAAACGGCGTGACGAGGTCAGGTAGCAGAGCTGCCTCTGAGACCGGTCACGGCGGCCTGGCCCGCTCTGGTAAAGCGAGTCGCAGCGGCTCCTCCACCGCGGCCAGAGCAGATCCCGTGCGGCTGCTGCCCGCTGGGGCGGGAAGTGCTGAGGGGAAGGGGCTGCCAGGGGCCGGAGGGAGGGCGCGGGCAGGGCGGGCTCTGCAGGGACACCTCCGACGAGAAGCCCACGTCGCGTTCGGGGTGAGTCACCGAAGCAGCCTGACGTCACGAGCGCTGCCGACATAAAAACCAGGCAGCAAAATCAACTCCGACGCTGGGGCACAAGTAATCCCCCCAAATACAGCACCTTTCATGCAGGCCACACATTTTTCTAAAAGTCTACTTGATTTAGGACAGTAATACGAGCCAACTGTGTGAAATAAAGCTTTAAGGGCAGCCGCACAGTTCAGGACAGCAGAAGCTCCCATGACGTTCAAACATCACTCTCCAGATCTCTCCTCAATCTCCTGGGGCCGCAGTGAGAACCCGGAAAATGCTTCAGGGTGGTCCCGGGCGTCCCGGAAGCACCTCCCGCAGCCACTCCCACCAGCACTCGGCAAAGGAAAAATCTCTCTCTCTTTTAGAAAGGTATTTTAAAGTCACACAGACCTAAAGTAGTAACAAATGCCAAGACAAATACTGCTCGGGCGTCTTGGTTGAAATAAAACATACACCGACGTCTAGGCTACCAATTCCAGGGAAAGAAAGAGGGAGAGACCGCACCCCCAGCCAAGCTTTCCAGAACTACCTCTGGGCCCAGGGAGCCTCCGGCAGGGCACTAGGTCCTCGCGCTGGGCGGTGGGGCGGCCTGGAAGCAGGCCAGCTGCAGGTGCATGCCGCTCCGGACCCGGCCCAGCAGCTCCTCCAGCAGCCTGCAGGGGGGGACAAGACCCGCTCAGAACCACACCCGGCCGCCTGGGGGGCCTCTCCCGCGGAAAGGCCATTTACAAGTGGATTCTGGGCTCAATGACAGCAACAAGTCAGAGGGAGCACACGCTTTTACACACGTTTATGTTCATACACGCAGTTGCCCTCCCGCCCCTTCCCCAGATGAGCTAGATCCCTCCCCAGAACGGGCAGCTGCCCAGGTGTTTGCACCTGAACCTTCAGTCCACAGACCCTGAAACCCACCCTCCATGCTGCTTCTGAGCACACAGCCCACACCGTGCTCCAAGCCCCCGATCCCGCCAGTGTGGCCCTGGGCCACCTTCACCACCACCCCCGCCCCACAGCTTCTGGCCTGTTCTCCGGTCCCCTTACTCTGCATTCCTGCCCTTAAATATTGGGCGGGGCTGAGCTGAAGGGTCTGTTCTCACTCTGGTGACAGCTCAACTTGTTTCCTTAGCTGGGCCGACATTTCTGTGTGGTTTTCGGGCCAGAGGTACTGGTCTGGGGTCAAGAGACGACCTCCTGGTTCCACAGTGCACCCCCTGCAGTCCAGCACAGCCCCGTCCTGCCTCCGTCACGTGAACACCGCCTCAAGGGAAGGTGGCTGGGACTCTGCGACATGTGCCTGGCCTCGTTCTGTCTCAGCTCAGAGCTTCCTGCTGCGCAAGCAGCAGAGCTTCAGGTGGGGCTGAGACGCGCCGCATGGACACCCTCCGCCCTCTCCCCGGGCGGGCGGGGTGCACACTGCTGGCCCCGGGCCCCGGGCCCCGCACGCCCCGTCCTCTCTGGTACTTCTCTAAGCGCCTTCTTCTTGAAATCTAGGATAATGACGGTTTAGTGAGTGAGTCAAGATAAACTTCCTTCCCAAATTTTCTGTGCCGGTCGCTTAAAGCAAGCAAAGAACTGACTTCTAGACTGTCACAAACCCAGAAGGTCTGGCCACATTTAGCCACAGTGCAGACTTGATGGTGCCCAGCACCGCTGCTCCCAGACAGAGCCACGGCTGCAACAGCACGTTTAGGAAACAGACCTTGTGTGGCCGTCTGAGCTCTCGAGGACAGCCCGGAACTTACTTTGCATCTGCTCCACTCGAGAGCTGCGGCAGGGCTTCCAGAGCCTGCTTGAAACTGGACCTGCAACACAGAGACACAGCGCCTTGAGCCTGAGAGCCCAGCCCGGGGGCGGGAGCGTCAGCGGGAAGCCTGTCCGAGCGCAGAGAAGCACACGGGCCGCGGCAGCAGAAGCAGGAGGGAGAGTGAAAGTGAAAGTGCGGGTCTGCAGGAGCAGGCCAGAAACTCAACCAGGAGGTAACACTCAACTTGAAAAGCGAGCGAGAAACCGATTTTTACACAAGGTACTGCTCATGGAGGATGAGTTTAGCGTGGACGTGCTAAATTTTAAAGGGGTCTTTACTTCACAGAAACCGGCACTGTGTAGAAAAGCACCTGGCAAGCAGGGAGGGAACTAAGCGGAGACAGGGCTGATCCTGCGCAACCTGAGCCCAGCGGGGCTTCTCCAGTGCAGACACGTTGCGGGGCCTGAGCTACGTACAGCCAGCGCCGCAGAGTAACCGGACACGCCTCTGCTTAGCTGTCTCCATGTCTAAAGTCTGTGGGATCACGGAGAGATGCAGGTATATACGTACTTTGAAAGTCCAACATCATTTCATTTCATGAGAAATAGAAAAAGAAGTGAATTTAAAAAACTGCCAATTTGGTACATTCAACTTTGTAAAGTACAAAGTACCAGAAAAGTTACGGAACCAAACGAAAAGCATTTTAGGGACATTATTTGGTAGCAACTTGAACTGCTCAGCTCCCCTCCCGGGGGGGATGGACTCTCCCCGCTCCTGAGTGGAGACGCGCCTCTGCCTCCACCTGACATCATTCTGTTTCTCGGAAACCTCTCCTCAGTCAGCAAGAAAGAAGAGCAGGCCGTTATCTTTATTTTTTACACCCAACAGTGGTGAAGTGGTGAGGTCTCGACACACTGTCTCCTTTAATTTGCCCAAACTTTGTCTACAAAGTGTTATTATCCTCCTTCCACAGATGAGGAAGTCGGGCTACGAGAGGCCCGGTTGGTGGGAACGAACCACAGAGCGAGGTGCCCACGGACCGCGGGTGGGGCCCCCAGCCTCCGCTACTCGGGACTCGGGGCAGAACAGCGTGGTTGGGAAGGCAGAGGGGGCTCCCGGCCCGCCCTCACGTGGTGGGAAAAGGGGCAGAAGTCTCTTCGCTGTGGCGCCGACAGTCGGGATCAGCACCGTCGGTACCGGAAGCTGGACGCGAATGAGCGCGAACATCGCACCCAGTGTCCCAGACGCTCGGCTTGTGCGCGACCTGGCACGTTAGCAACACAGCCCTGCTTCCCAGGTAATGCTGCCAACGGAGTAAACAATTTTCTATGGGCAAGCAGTTAGCTGTTTCAGTTCACCTACTGATGTTTCAGTGATAGGAAATCCTGACTTTCATTCAAAACAGCTAAAAATTATCATCAAATTTCCACTACAAGACTTTGCACAGAAACCACAGGGCTTCCTCTCGCGCTGACACTTACAGTGCCTGGACTGCCCTCCGAGGCTGCTGTGAAGACTGACTCAGTTCTTATTTTCTCCGTTTTAGCACGAGGATGTGACCCTCTGCTACACCATTCATGCGACTACGACTTACCTGGTGAATGAGCAACAATTACATGAAACCCGTTTTGCCTTCACACTGAGCTGCAGAGCAGCAGCTCAGGAGTCTGCGGCTTGCTGCAGGCCACGCTTTTTAACAAAATCCTTGGTCACATGTAAGCCCTGCCGCATCACAAGGTCATGTGTTCGCCCTGCTCAGCCATCTCCACCAACAGCGTTACCTCCAAGGAGCGTTTAGAGCAAGAGCAGTCAGCCCCTCACCGGCTTTCAGGTGTCAGGTGAGCAGCCACAGTGTCCCTCAGAGCGCAGATTTCAAGCCTCGCCTGCAGGTGAGAGAAGGGCAGGTGACCACGGGAGCCGTGCAGATCATCAAACAGAAGGGAAGGAGCGGGAACTGTCACTTGCGGGGACGGGGCTGGCGGGGTGGGGCTGGCGGGGACGGGGCTGGCGGGGTGGGGCTGGCGGGGCACCGCAGCCACAAAGACACCCCTCTGCCACAGCGATCGCTGATTATGAGAAGACCCCCTAAACAGCCCAGAGCACTCAGCCAGGACAACTTTCCTTTCACTGGAAACGGCCCTCCAGGCACACGGGACCATGTGAGGCAGGGGCCAGGGGTCCTGCGCTGAAGGCCCAGGCTGAGCACGGCTGCCCAGCAGCCCGCCGCAAAGGCACCTGCAAACACCGCGGCGGCTCGCAGAGGAAGCGGAGTCTAAGGTCGTGACTCGGGGAAGGGGTTCCTCACACCCAAGCCCCCCCAGGCACCCCGACGACAACCCCAGGTCCCGGGCTCTGCGGACGCACTGTGATGCCTGTTAGACCACAGCTGGCTTTCCCCTTTTATCTTTTCTTTTTAAAAACAAAACTTGGTAAGTTAACTCCAAAGAGACAAAACAACATGGAAGAGGAATAGCACACTCAGAGAGACTCATGCCCGCTGATGCCAACACCCACTACGGAGCTGCAGTCATCAGAACCGCGGGCCCCGGCCCACGGGAGACACACAGGCTGGCAGAGCAGGGCTGACTGTGCAGAAACCAAGCCCACGGCTATCACCGGCCGACGTTCTACAAGGGCCCGGCCGCTCGGTGGGGCGCACATCCCTTTGACCCAGGGTGCTGGGCACCGGGAAGTGACTGCAGTCGGTCCCTCCCTGAAGACGAAAACCAGCTCCAAATGGATCGCAGACCCAGATGCAGGTGAGAAAACTACAACACACTCAGAAGGAAGCAGGAGGACACGTCTGTGACGTTAGGCTCGGCCTGCCTCCTTGGAAGTGACAACAGAGGGACAAACAGCAAAAGAAAAAGCAGGTAACCTGAACCTCCTGTGCTGCAAAGGACGCCCTCACAAAAGCAAGATGACTGCACAGGGCGAGCTACCGCTGCACGCGCACTGGGCTGGCCACCCGTGCTGCGAGGACGCGGAGCAACGGGTCTGCAGAACCTGCTGCAGGAAAGTGGAGCGGCTGCTGTGAAACGGTCTGGAGGTTCATCCAAAGGCTGAACACGGAGCAACCGCGTAACCACGCCAGCCCCGTCCCAGGTACACACCCGAGAAACGAACACCCGGAACAACAGTCCACAGAAGCAATCTTCACTTGAGCCAAAAAGTGCAAACCTAAATGTCCATCAAAGGCTGCGTGGTACGTCTACCCAACGGAATGTCACACAGCCCCAGAAAGGAGCAACAGCTGCTACAACGTGGCTGGACGCCGCAAACACGCGCAGTGACAGATGCCAGCCACAAAAGCCCCTGTATGTGATTCCACTTTTACGACATGTTTAGAACAGGCAAAGCACAGACAGGTGTCCGGCTGTGGCTGGGGGGCTGGGAGGGAAGTGGACAGTGAGACCGCCGGCGGGTCCAGGGTTTCTCCACGGGGCGATGCTGAGGTGATGGACTGCAGGACTCTGAGCGGGGCAGGAGGACGGTCTCTGAGCTGTGCAGTCTTTCCACCTCAGGGACACACCCCACCCCAGCACACACCGTGGCTCCCGCCAATCTGTCACACACAAACCAAGAATCATCTGGTTTACGTAAGTTACATTTGTTGTTGTAATTACACAATTTAAACAAATGCAACGTAAACCAACGGAATATGAGCAGAAAGAGACAGGTACTGGTTGTTCCTCTGCGAACGACACCGAATGCTCTGGAAAGACCACTTACAAGTTAGGGGCTAAAAATGTCCTGTTAAACTGAGCGCAGCGAAGACAACTGCAGAACAAACAGAAAATCACAGAGCTCTGGAAGGAATCCGCAGTCAGATAGCTGACGAGCATCACAAAGTTCTCGCTCTGCTCTAACGGGACCGAAGCCCTGGGGCGGGGATACCACGGGGACGCTCGCGCAGGAGACGCGGCTCATCTGCACCCAGCAGACCCACCCGAAAACACAAAGCCCGAACGCGTCCCACGACTGGGGAAGGAAGCCCGAATCGGTGTTTCACACAACGAGCTCAAGCCGGAGCTGAGGCGGGGGCACCTGTAGGGCTCCGTTCCGGCTGAAGGACGAGGCACACTGCACGAGCCGGCTCAGCTCCTCGGAGACGGCCTCCACCACCCTGCACAGCACCCGGGGCACCAGCTCCTTGGAGACCGCGAACACCTGGCGGGGGTTCAAAGAGGAAGGGACAACACGTTACTGGAACTTCCCTCGACGGAGTTTGTTAAAAACAAAGGAATCACAAGGCAACATAACTCAGCTCTTCTAAGCCGTGTTCCTGCAGGATCAGACTCCGGTGTGGAAGGAAACACAGGCTCACACTCCAGCTGTGGTCACTGACCCGTGACAAACTCCTCTCTCAAACTGCACTGGCAAACTGAGAGGTGCCACCGATGGCGACAAACTAGAACTGCTTTAAAATTTCCTCTTCTCTTGACCTTTTCACAAGAAGAAACATGATTTCTAGAGAGGAAATTACAGACCCAGAAGCGCCCTGGATTGGAGTCTCCTTAGATGAAAACAAACACTTCGCCCTGGGTGTGCCGCTCTGGGTTGGACAACAGAGCTCCCGGCTCTACTGTCTGCTGAACTGAATACGTATTTCTTTTCATCTGACATAAAAGCACCATCTTTAAGCTTTGAATTTTGATGTTTTCAAACTAAGAGTGACTGTATTTGGACATCAGGTGGAACATTTTGCTACCCTGATCTATAAGCTAAACTCAACCGTGTTTTCTTTTCAGCTTTTTCTTCTTGATTGAGTCACCTGCACTGAACCTTCAGGTCGACACGAACATCACCTGAGTGTTCAAGAAAACTTCAGACAAGCTAAGATCATATGGCAGTTAGTGAGCAGTAAACGTTAAGAATGAGATTCTACTTTCAGTCACAGGGATAAATGAAAAGGGGGCTTGAAAAATCCAGTACTTACAAACAACGTCCCAGGTACTGACAGCGGGCTCCGTTAGCCAAAGCTGCCTCTTTAGGAGCCTCGCGCCATGGACACGCCCACAGGCCCACATCCCTCTGACTACACCCGTCCGCTCTACACAAGCGTTTTCAGTGGCTGAGGACTGAACGCTATACCCTAACTTTATTGGATGCTAACCTAACAAGAAAGCGTTTTTAGATGTCTCTGACAAAACCGCAGTGGAAACTATATCACGTTATAAAAAGATGTATGTTGATAAACTTCTGCCTGAGTTAAATCTACAAAAACTACTTTATGCAGGAATTTAGATGCTTTCCACACTAAGAAATGGAACACACGTGTCCAGTTCAGAGCCAGGCTCCGGCAGGAGGCAGCGCCCACCTCCAGTGCTCACCCTCCCGCTCGGCCTCCACGGCCCATGCGCCTCCAGGACACTGGACACCTGGGACGATGAGGGTGATGCGGAGGGAGGTGTGACCCTGATGCCCTTCTGAGGTCCCTGCGCCCGCGCTCACTGCAGCAGACCCTCTGCCGAGACCCCTTGCTGGGCCCGCCTTACCCGGCGCCCTTCCATCCACAGCCCGCAGCCAACCCGAGGCCAGGACTGCGGGTGACAAGGGCGGTCAGAGTGGACAAACGTGGCGGCTGTGGTCTCTTCTCTCCTCAAAGGCCACTCATGGAGCCCGGGGTGCCGTGCTCCCCGTGAGGGCAGGTGGGGGGGGAACCACGGTCCGGGGAGCCTGCGTCTCTGAGAGGCCACGTGGCTGTGAGACTGGCACGCTGTGCCTCAGGAGGGTGGAGAGTTTCCAAGTGGGGGACACGCACCCTTTCAACCTCTCTTCTCTTTATTTTTCAAATATTACCGAGTCTGGCTTAATTACGAGAAAAAATACTCAACTTCAGAGGAGAACTCTCACAGTAAAAACACACACCTTTGGGCATGGAAGGGGTTGTTCATACCTGAGATACAGTCTGGAGGGAAGGACCAGAGGAGCCACCAGATCTGCCCCCTTCCTCCCAGTGCCCGAGGCCTGGGGGACGCTCTCGCGACCTACCTCTGCGTGCACGGCGATGATGCTGACCACGGCCTCCTTCAGGTAGTTCCTGACACCTGGAAGCAGACGGGGAGGCGGTGAGCAGGCTGCACTGGAGCCCCCGGGAGGAACAAAGCCACAGCACACGGCTGCCTCCCCCCGAGACCCCAGGGGCCAAGGGCCAGTCTCGTGCACGTGGCAGAGAGGGCAACCTGCTTAGGAGTCCCCGTCACTGCTTTCCCACTTCTGCTGCTGCTTCTGTCCTTCGCACCTGCTCAGGGGTCTGCTTCAACACTGACATTTAAAACTGTCTTCCGTTTCTTCACATCCAGGAACGCACACGCGCACACACACACACACACGCCCACCCTCCCCCGAACAAAAACCAGGGGAAGGGTATCTTCCGAAGTGTATAAAACACATGCTAAATGCCTACAAGAGCATCTCACTTCCAAACGGGGAAGTCAAATTATTACGTAGAAATGACTACTTTGATCTTAAAAGTTATTTCTGGGAAGAACTTTTGAGAAAGATGCATCTCTCCTGATTCTGTAAAGCAAGTTCGAGTGGACGAGTCCTCGATCCCAGAATGGACTGCACAGCTGAGAACTCCTCATCACCACAGGAGGGGACTCGGCTCCGCAAAGTCACGGCTGAGTGGCAGCGGCGCTGGGGAGGACCTGCCGTCCACGCGACCGGCTACTCAGCATGGCGGAGACGGATGCCAAGGGCCACACATGAGCAAGGCAGATGTGACCCCACCGAGGCCGCGCACCCAGCGGCAGTCTCCGGGGGTCCGTGGGCCTTGGGGCCACCTCCTGAGCAACGACGTAAACAGACAAGCAAGAGGCACGACCACCGGGAAAACACACCGGCTCGTCCCTGAAACACGGTGCACGAGTCTGGACAGCGCACTGGCTGTGCCTGTTGCCCACAGCGGGTGCCGCTCTCCGGAGGGCCACCAGCGACCTCCGGACAGGCGAGCGTGTGTGTATGGCCCAGAGGGAGTGCCGCGCATGTGTGCACACCCTCCCACACCCCCATAGGACTCACTGGAAGCCGCAAGAGCAGTGCAGTGCTCTGGCCACACTCTGCAACGGTTCTGGAAAGCACGGTGGATGGCGCACACAGTGGTGGAGGCGCCCTGGCTCCCAGGTGGCATCTGAGCCTCGGCCTGAGCCAGCGAGAACAGCAGGTGTGCCTGGCCGGCAGAAGCTGGTGCTGGGCTCCGACCCGCCGGTCACCCCAGGCGAGCTCCCGTGGCTCTGACCAAAGGCTCCTCCTCCCCGAACACTGACAGCACTTCTTAAACACAGCAGCAGCTCTCAGAGGACGGCAGGCCATTGGCCAAGGGGGCAGCTTGCTGGCTGCACCCTTCCCCGTGTCCCGGGGCTGCACTCATTCCCCTCACATCCTCACGGCGCTGGTGACACCTGGCTCACACCCATCTCCCTGCTCCGCTGCCAACTCCGCAAGCACAGGGTCCCCTGTCTGCTTGTCTCCATAGTGTTTATGAAAAACAAAGTCAATAAGGCAAAGGCCACGTATGCCCTGCTCACTACTAAGCCCCTAGGACTTTACTCTCTTAGCTGAAAAGTGGGTTCACGAGTGAACAAACACAGGAGGGAAGCGCGGCACACGCAGCGTTGTCGGATCTGTGACCGACACCTGAGCCGTCCGCTAAAAATGCAAACGCCTGGGTGTTTGTGCGAAAGAGGCGCTCTCTGCTGAAGCACATCCCTCCCTCTCACAGGACTTAGGGAAATAAGGCAGTCTTTTCGAAATAATTGTCAGGATCCATTTGAAAAACACAACTCAAATAAAGAAAGTAGGAGAGAATACTGCTGAAGCTAAATACATTTGTTCTCCAATGTGCTGTATTTTTCCAGCCACATCCTTAAGCAAACAGCTGCTCCAAGTAATAAACCTCACTGCGCCCAGGACTGAGGGCGCCACGGCTGCCGGAGGCGTGGACACTCAGGGAGGCAGATGGGCGAGGCACGCGGGCTGATGCTACCTGCTTCTGATGCAGCACCATGTGTTGTTTTCAAGAAGGTTCCTCACAGATAAGCCCCCACAACTTTCCATGTTGTTCACATGCGGGAGCGAGCGGCTTCTAAGCACGGGCGATGCTGTCTCCTCTGCTCTCCGAGTGTGAGATCACAACGTGTCACGATACCTGGCCCAGGAAGCGTCCCCACCCACACAGCGTCGGTCCAGACTGCCACCGAGCAGCTCGCCGCTGGCCCGGCGGGAAGTCCCCGGGAGACGTCAGGCCCACGTCTGCTGAGCAGGAGGCTCTGGGCCCCTCGCAGGGTGGGCTTCTCCGGACGGAGGGCGCCAGGCCTCAGGGCACCTCTGTGAACGACGAGAGCCGCGTTTCTCACACACGACAGTGGGGAAGGAGTCTCCTTTCTTGCTCTATTTGTCAGTTTCCTGTTTTAATCAAATAGGGAGCACACTTGGGTTTGGAATAACTAGTGAAATTTTTCCCGAGCGCCTCTGACTGTTACACGCCAGGTTCGACCCCGTGGGCGGGGGCAGAACAAGCCCGCAGCAAACAAAGCCCCTCCCCGCAGCGGGGCACCCCCAGGCTTAGGGCAACACGGCCGCCTCGCCCACAGGGCCCCCAAGAAGGCAAGTGCATGCACAGCACCGCTGGGCAGCAGGGAAGCCCACACGGGCAGACAGAGGGCCGCGGAGGCCGGGCCCCGACGGCCGAGGGGAGGCGCCCGTGCCCACCCCACGGGAAGCGCCCCTAACAGGCCGCGGGCGGGGAGCACGGAATGGCCTGGATTCAAATTCTGCCTGGAAAGTCAGTTAATTTAATCCACCGAAGCTTCCGGCTTTCTCTGAAGTATGTGGAATGCTTCTTGTGACCCAGAAAGTGTGATACAGGCGGATTTGATTCTTCCTAGAATGAAGGGTCTGGACAAGCTGCCAGCGGGCCTCTCCAGGGCTTCCACGCCGCGGTAAAGAGCAGAGCAGGGGCTCTTCTGACCCGACCGAGGCTTCATCCTCCTCCCTAGTGTGCGGCATAGTCTTCCAGACCTTCTCCTCTGAAGGGAAGTCTTCCCCTAAAAACGGGTCACACTACACACTCTCTTCTTAAACTTGCTGACCTCGCTCCACACTGCGTGGCAGGCTGCGCCCTTCAGCGGCGGCCCCGTGTCCCGCGGCAGGGACGGCCGTGAGGGCCTGCTCTCCGTCTATGTGTCCATCTGCTCATCTCATGTTGCGCTTTATTCCATTTTCTGGTAACCTGCTCTCCCGCCACTCGACAGCCCCAGGGCCCTTCAGGATGGACTGCTGTAAGCAGCGCTGCGGTGGCTGCCGGCCCCTCGCTCCCATAGCACAGCTCACTCGCGGCACCTCCTAGGAGCAGATCTGCCGAGCCAGGGGCTGTGGGCTTTGACGGTCCTGCCAGCCTGTCGCTGAAAAGGCCATTCAAATTTAAACTGCTTCTTCAAGCCTTTTTACTTTCTTAACTTGGACTCTCTCGTTACTATAATTAATAACAACCTGAATAAATGCTCCCCAACTACGATGGTGACAAAACTTTCCATTAAAACACTGGGAGAAAGATTTAAGCAAAATGCAGAGGTCAAAGGAAATTTACTGTAAGTCACACAAGATGCAGACCTCACCCGACTGCGCAGCGTCTGAGGATGGGCACTTACAGAAACACCTGTGCACCACCTGAGCAGAAGCATTTCCGGTCACGTCCTCCAGACACGCGGCCCAGGCGCCCTGCCCGACTTGTTTTGAACCACGACACTCAGTCAACACCACCGAATCTAACTCTGGAAACTCTGGAGATGCTGCCTCCTTTATAAACCACATTTCCTGTTTTTAACCCTGTGCCCTAAATCAGTTACTAGTCCTCGTCTACAGATAAAAATAGATTGAAAAATACTATAAATATCCCACAATGTACTTTTTTTGGGTCAAACTGAAACACTACATGAAAGAACTTCGGGGTATTTTTTTTCAGATAAATTACCTATTCAATTGTACTCTGAAGACACAATACCGAAATTACCGCCTATTAAAAAACGTACCCAGAAACTGTATCGAGACCGTCAGGCAGAAAGGCCTGACTGCCCTGAGCAGAGAAAGGGCTTCAGGCCCAGGCCCCAGGTTCCAGTCCACGTTTCCTTAAACCCTCCTAATTGTCTCCTCCTAAATTGATAAACGTCCTCTGCCCCAGGAGCGACTTTTAAACGAATGCCTGTGGGGAAAGGAGACCCTTTGGGGCGGAACACGAGAAGGCAGCCCCACCGCTTCAGCCTTCTGCTTTCCTTCTCAGGGTTCTCTTTTTTTTGGCTTTAATTGATACGACTTCCACGAACAGGAAAACTTCTCCCTGTAAAAACAGAAAACACCACCGGCAGCAAAAATGACTGTAAAAGTATTTCCTGGCTTATTTTTTTCCATTTGTGAGAAGGGATTTCTATTCCTACGAGTTCAGCCTCCATAGACGTCACAGACAAGCAGCTCTGGGCAAGGGCTCACAGCCTCTCCCATCCCCAAGCTGAAGTCCGAAGTGCAGAGCGGACTGTGGATACAGCAACCCCACGTACGACGAAAGGCTTCACACACTTGGTGAGCAGAGTCTCGGTTTCAACATTCAAAACCGAGACCCTGAATTTCAGACGTACAGGCACAAGTTTGATTAACTTCATTAACTGGCAAATTCGTTCGTTTCAATTCCATCCTTTGGTGGAGCCTGTTTTCACTAGAAAGTCCCTTCAGTCAGGAAAGTGAAAGTGACAAGAAAACAGAGCTGGCTTGCCGCGAGCAACGCGTCTGCTCCGCGCCGTGAGCCGTCACGACCGCGCGGCGCCTCGCAGAGGTCTAAGCGGCTTCACACTGCGACGTGTCCGGGGGTTCTTCTCCTCCCTAAGAATGACTTCAATTAAGTCCTAACTGTACACGCCCCGCGAGAAGCCAGGCTGTGGTGGCCCCAGGGCTGACGGGGGGACACACAGGTGCCTCGCAGAGGAGCAGCCCCGCGTCCTGGAGGCCGGGCTGCCACGTGCAGCAGAGCCAGGGCGCCCCGCACGCTCTCGGAGCA